CCAGGATCTGGGGGACGTGCCGTCCGCGCCTTCGAGGCGCCGCTATTCTGTTCTCCACTGTCCACCTTCTGGCCCCAGGGATTCCCGTGCGCGTCCTCCACGCAGAGCACGCTCACCCCGTTTTCAGGGCCCCAGAAGCGTCTGTCATTCCAGCGTGAGCTCAGAGCCGCGACGTTCTTGTCGTTCACCCCTAGATCGGGTGTGTGCGGGGCGCGGGGCGGCCGTGCTGCTGCCGGGCTCTCTGCACCGCTGTGCCCACGCTCTTCTGCCCGTGGTGGCGGCAGGAGGGCTGCGCCCCTGACGTCCCGTCTGTGCCGATGCCTGACCTTCACGCCCCCTTGTTCTCTCCGTCCCAGGTGCTTGTCTCCGTGCTCAGTCCTCCCCGCGCTTGGCTGTAGTGTGCGCTCGGCTGTGGCCTTTCCCTGGGAAGTCCTGCTGTGGGGGCGGCCTGGTGACGACCCTTCCTTGTCTCTCGATTACAGGAGCAAGCCCAAGCCCAAGCCCAGAAGCAAACCCCCCCCGCGTCTCCCACCCCTCAGCCGGCTGAGGAGAGGCCGCCCTCAAGCCCCGTCTATGAGGTTGGTGTTTTCATTCAGTTTGCGAACGAGTCTCTGACTCTCCAAAGACGCCCTTCCCCTGTCGAAGCCACCGTGCACGGGGAGGGACCCCCACATATTCCATTTGCTGCCTGACCCGAGACGGTGGCCTGGAGAGTAGCCCTCGTGAGCGCTGGGGGGGTGGGGGGCACAGTGCTCAGCCAGTCCGTCGCCTCCCGGCAGATCCCCTGCTGCCGCGGATGTGGGTTCTGGTCTTCGTGTCACTTACTCTGTAACCCGCTCTCTCTCCTGGACGCCTGTGTCCCGGCACCCACCTGCCACCCTCCCCGTGACCTGGCTTCGCCGGCCGCCCTCCCCGCTCTCCTTCCCTCAATCCCCCTTGCACACTGTGTTCCCCAGAGACTGTCCTCGGCCCTTACTCCTCAGTCTCGTCGTCGGTGCCTCGTGACCGCCCACCTGTGCCCCAGAACCCATGTCTTTGAATTACTGGGCTCTCTGCCTCTCGGGGGCACCCCTGGCCCCGGGCCCATGACCACTCCTGGCCGAGCCCCTGCATCCCGTCCCCTGCATCCCCGCGGCCACTGCCCAGCTTCCCGTGCCCGCCTTCTCACCAGGAGGTCGTCAGAGGCCACTGGGGTGTGAGGGACAGAACGCAGCTCAGCTCAGCTGCGACTCGAGGGGGTGAGCCGTCTGCGTTGCTCATGAACCCGGGAGAGCGTCAGACGGCGCGTCTGGGTCCCGGGGGTGGCCCAGGGTCACGTGGCCACCGGGGCCCTGTCCAGGCTGCCTCTCCCTCTGCACGGCGGCCGTGCCCCCTGGACTCGTAGGCCCTGCAGCCCTACTTGCGGGCGTGGGGGGCCCGTGATGGGGGGAAGTTACTCGGCAGGAAATGGCACGTGGCCCCTTCACGCTGCTTCGCCGCGACTGGAGTCCGAGTGTTCTTTGAACGTCAGCGGGTGCGAGGCCTCCTCGTTCGCGCGTGCACGTGGCCGATCCCGCTAGGACTGAGACAGAGCTGCGTGTCGGGACTCGTTGCCGGCCACAGCAGATGTCTCCTTGACGCTCCCCTCCCCCAGGACGCGGTTTCGTTCAAGGCTGAGCCGCAGCCCACGTACAGCGTGGAGGCCGCCGACTACCGAGAGGCTGGTGGCCAGCAGGGCCTGGCCTACGCCCCGGACGCCGTCTACGAGGCCGCGGAGGCCCCGGGCCACTATCAAGCAGGTATGGGCGCAGGGGCGCCTGCCACGCCCCTCTCTGTCTCTGCTCCTTCGCGTGAACGTCCGTCACCCTGTTGCCTGGCCCCTTCCACCTTCCCCCTGCTTGTGGGGTGTCCACCCCCCTGCCGGGAGGGCACCCGACCTCTCGGGTGTGGTTTCTGGAAGGCCCTGCTGCTCTGGGGCGGCCCGCGGGGCCGAGTGGGAAGCAGGGGCCTCTGCTCCTCTCTCTCCAAAGTGGCAGCTGGTGACAGCCGGGCTCCGGGAGGCCGGAGTGTCTTGAGGTTTTCGGGAACAGCTTCCATACACCCCGAAGAGTTTACGGACGCTTCGGCGGGACGAACACCGAAATCGGTCTCTTATCCCTAAAGACGAGATTTCGTTCAATACGTTTGGACAGATTTAACCTGAATCCATCAGACAGCACACCTCACGATGGAGTCTTACCTTTTCCCCAAGCGTGACTGGGGGCATTTGGGCAGCGCCGTCCCCCCGCGGCTTGCCAGTCGCTTAACCACGACGTGACCTTTCCTGAAAGTACAAATCTTTAAACCTTCAAAAACCATTCTCTGAAAGCCGTCACGGTACCCGTCCGGGTCACCGTGCGCGCCTGGTGGTGTCGGCGTTGGGAAGGGGTGGGTTTGTTCCTCAGAAGCCGGAGTCCTTCCTCCTGAATCTCGCCCGGCACCCCCCACGGCCTCTCCTGCCCGGAAGGCCTCGCGGACAAGAAATTAACGGCGGACGGCTCCGTGGTGCTGCCCTTACCCCTCAGCTCTTGTCTTGGTTTATTTTTAGAGGAGAACACCTACGACGAATACGAAAACGACCTTGGGATCACGGCTGTCGCCCTCTACGACTACCAGGCTGGTGAGATGCCCACGTGCCCATTGGCACTCGTTTCCACAGCCACTCCGCTCTTGGCAGTTTGACTCCGAGAGCGTTGTTAACAGCGTTTAAAAGTTGGGGATGATCTCACAGTCACAAAAATGCCCCCTTTCTCTGCATTTCCGCACCTCCCCGAACCTCCCATCACTCGTGGCCGCGGTGTTGTCCCTGCGCCTAGAGACCCCAGTGTGAATTCCCCAAAACCAAGGATGCTGCCCACACTAAAGGCACGGTTCCCCCTCCAAGTGACACGGTCGGCACTGAGATGCCAGGATGCCTGCGGACTAGCCACGTTTTCCCGGCCGTCCGGGCACCTCGTGTCCTGTGGGGGCCGCTTCCCTCCGCTCCGCGTCACCTCACCGCCTCTCCTCCTGGGCTGACCCCCGGCCGGCCCGAGGCCATGCTCCTGTGAGGGGGCGGCCACGGAGAGTTTCCTGCTCCCCTCCTGTGGTTTACGGACGTGCCCACGCGCTTGGGTGCCTGGGTGTGGGTCTTGTGAAATCGGGCGTCTGTAATTTGTACGACCTGGTGGGTTTATCCTGGTGCTGTGCCGCGCGGGCTGCCGTCTGGGCTCCCCTGTGCGCCCCGTGAAAGTCCCCTGTGCGGCAGGAGAGTGGGAGGAGCCTGGTGTCCGGAGCCTGGGCACGCGTGCTGTGCTGCCCGGCCCGGGTGCACAGGTCCAGGTGTCTGCCCGGCGGGGCCCGTGGCGGGAGACCCTGCGGTTCACCGTCCTTTCTCTGCATCCTCCTCTTTCCTAGCGGGTGACGACGAGATCTCCTTCGACCCCGACGACATCGTCACCAACATAGAGATGATCGACGACGGCTGGTGGCGGGGGCTCTGTAAGGGCAGGTACGGGCTCTTCCCGGCCAACTACGTGGAGCTGCGGCAGTAGGCCCGCCGGCCCCCGCCACGTGCCACTCCCGCCGTCCGTGGGTGTCCGGGGCCGGGAGGGCCGTGGACGTGCCGCTTTTGTATTTAATACTTCTGCTGATGCTTTTGGAAATGTTTACGCCACAGAATTTGCTAATATATTGTAATCACGTTCCTTAGGAGGACTTTGGTCATTGATTTTACGCATTCGAGGTATTTTCTTTCTTTTTCTTTT